AGTAACTAAAAATATTTGCAAAGGACATGTCGGAGCAGAGTCGATGCCCACGCTGTGAGTTTGCCTCCGTGCCGTCTTTAGGCACAACATCCTCACCGGGGTAACGATTGTCCGGAAAACGTGTGTTTTAGCCAGAAGGTGCGATGCTGCCAGCGGCCGGTCGGTTCTCCTGAATTGAAGCCAGTCGGTCGGGCGCTGGGGGCGGGCAGTGTCCGTGCGGGAGACGGGTGGGGACGGCTCCTTCTATCGTTTCGCTTCACGATGGAAGTTCAGAGGCTGGAGTTTGAAGGGGAGTCTTCCCTTATGCGATCTCCCGACCCCGGTGTGCCCTGGTAGAAAGACCAGAGATGGATGGGCTCCCTGATTTTCTTCTGCGAATTTTTAAATCTTTTCATTAAAAAAAAAAAATCAAACGCACAGGAAACCTTCGAGACGTGTACAATGGGCTCATATACACATCCTCTCGATTCACATTTATAATCAAGTTTCTCTCTTTTTCCCTTCGCTCCCCCCCACCCCCCGATCCATGTACACTCACCTATATTCCTTATTCTGTTCCTTACATTTCTGAGCCAGAAAATGTGCACAAAATACTTTGCAGCTTCTTTTCTCCATTCCTGGATGATGCTCTTCTAAGACTTAAAAGCAACTTGAATTCACCTTCGAGTTCCAAGCAAGAAAATAGGCCCACGGTCCTGTAAAAATGAGGGTTTTTTTTTTCTCTCTCTCTCTCCTGGATTTTATGTTATGATAGGACTTGAAAGTAAATAGAGGTGATTTATTCACTTTTTGGCAGAAATATTAGGATTTCAGTTTATTTCTATACACGTGGATACTGAATTTTGAGTTTTCAGCCCCAGTGGTATCTCCGGCTTTTTCTACAACACGTCTAACCCTCGTTGAACGAGATCTCAGAAATACCCGAAGAAATGACTCATTTAAGTCTTCCCCCATTGTTTATAGTCATAATTGCTTTCATATGCCGGCCAAAAAAAAAAAAATGACATCTTTTCCTAACGGGATTAACATGCTTTTACGACTATAAAATTGTCGCCAAGGTTCAGAGGGAAATGCCCTCATCA